TAGATGATAGATGATAGATGATAGATGATAGATGATAGATGATAGATGATAGATGATAGATGATAGATGATAGATACAGACAGACAGACAGGGATGGATGGATGGATGGATGGATGGAGGAAGGGATGGAGGGATGAAAAGAATGGATAGATGGATGGATGGAAGGGTGGAAGGAAGGATAGATAGACAGACAGACAGGGATGGATGGATGGATGGATGGATTGAGGAAGGGATGGAGGAATAGAAATAATGGATAGATGGATGGAAGGGTGGAAGGATGGATGGGAAGAATAGAGGGATGGATGGACAAAGGGATGGAGGGATGGGAAGAATGGAGAGATGGATGGATGGAAGGGTGGAAGGAGGGATGGAAGGGTGGAAGGAGGGATGGGAAGAATGGAGGCGTGGAGGGATGGAAGGAGGGATGGGAAGAATGGAAAGATGGATGGATGGGTGGATGGATATATGCATGGATAGATAGATAGATAGATAGATAGATAGATAGATAGATAGATAGATAGATAGATAGATAGATAGATAGATAGATAGATAGATATGGATGGGAAGAATGGATAGATGGAAAGATGGATGGATGGAAGGATGAATGGAAAGAATGGATGGGAGAGATGCATAGATGGGAAGAATCAAGAATGGATAGATGGAGATGGATGGGTGGATGGATGGAAGGATGGATAGAAGGGAAGAATGAATAGATAGATAGATAAATAGATGAATGGATGGATCGCTGGATGGGAAGAATGGACGGAAGGCTGGCAGGTTGGTTGGAAGGATCGATAGATGGGTGGGTGTGGATGGATGGATGGATGGATGGATGGATGGATGGATGGATGGATGGAAGGCAGGATGAAAGGTTGGAGGGAAGGATGGCTCCATGGATGGGTGGGAAGCTGATTGAATAAAATTAGCTGCAGATGGATGAATGTTTAGAGAAGGAGATTCTCTTTCTACTATGTCAGCAATTCCAACAGAGAAGAGAAGAAGGCATCTTCTCCAACAGGGGCATCTACCCAGCAACCCACAGGAGTTCTACTAAGCCTTGATCTCAAGAGCATTTTTCAAGATCAGGAGATGTATAACCAGAGCTAAGGAAGAGATAGCTTTGAAGAAGCTATAAGAATGAACGTAAGAACATAGCTTTGAGCAGGGGTGAGATTCAAAAATTTTAGCAGCCAATTTTCTGCCTGATTGCTGAGCGGGTGTGGCCATGGTGGGCGTGGCCTACTTGGCCTCTGCACCACCCCGTGGGAGTTTTCGCCCTCCCCAGGCTCCGGAGGCTTTTCCCGAGCCTCCAGGAGGGCGAAAACGGCCTCCCCTGGGCTCCGGAGGCCCTCCAGAGGCTGGAAACTGGCCTCATTTCTGGACTTCTGGAACTTCCCGGAGGCCCGTTTTTCGCCCTCCCAGAGCCTCCATACAGGCTCTGCATTTATCTGGCATCCAAAATGGGCCACATGGAGACTCATAGGAGGGGTGGGGCAGGGCGGGGGAAGCCAGTCCTTGCAACTACCGGTTCAGCGAACCAGATATAAAGTTTGCCCAAACCGGCTTTGAAGGCCGAGTGGGTTCTCTTCTAAAGACATTGCCGGCTCTTTAGCATCTGTAAAGTTCAGAGCATCTGCTGTCTCCATCAGGCCATCCCCGCCAACTAGTTCCCCTGGACACCTGCTTCTTCTCCCCTACAATGGGGGTTGACCTTTGTAGCCCTGCATGCCTCCCCAAAGCTATCGCCCCCTCCCCATCGTGTACCCGTCTGGGGGTCGACGGAGAAGAACGGCAAGCCCTCGAGTACCGTATAGACCAGCTTGGCGCTGTTCCCGTAGGTCGGATCGTCCGCATCGTGCGCTGTCACCTGGATCACGGACGTACCTGGGGGAAACGAAGGGGGAGAAGGAGAAAAGGGGGTTGGTTGTGCTAAGGGCAGAAGGAAGGAGAGCCCAGGATGGTTCAGAGTTAGCTCGTGAGCTACTGGAGCTGCATGTGGCTCTTTCATCACTCTGCTGCTGCTCCCTGTTGCTAGTCGGTAAAAGGGATGCCACACTAGGAGGAGACTCTATGGTGGGGGAACCAGACTTCCAGTCGGTAAAAGGAAAAAGGACGCCACGCTAGGAGGAGACTCTATGGTGGGGGAACCGGACTTCCAGTTGGTAAAAGGAAAAGGACGCTGCGCTAGGAGGAGACTCTATGGTGGGGGAACCGGACTTCCAGTTGGTAAAAGGGAAAAGGATGCCGCCCTAGGAGGAAACTCTATGGTGGGGGAACCAGACTTCCAGTCGGTAAAAGAGAGAAGGACGCCACACTAGGAGGAGACTCTATGATGGGGGAGATGGACTTCTAGTTGGTAAAAGGAAAAAGGACGCCGCGCTAGGAGGAGACTCTATGGTGGGGGAGCCGAACTTCCAGTTGGTAAAAGGAAAAAGGACGCCGCGCTAGGAGGAGACTCTATGGTGGGGGAACCGGACTTCCAGTCAGTAAAAGGAAAAAGGACGCCATGCTAGGAGGAGACTCTATGGTGGGGGAACCAGACTTCCAGTCGGTAAAAGGAAAAAGGATGCCGCACTAGGAGGAGACTCTATGGTGGGGCAACCGGACTTCCAGTTGGCTACAAAATTGAAAGACAGACTTCCAGTTAGGACCTTTGTGGGTCTGGGTCTTTAAGGTGGCGCAGTGCTTAGGGTGCAGTACTGCAGGCCACTTCAGCTGANGCCCTCCCCCGGGTAATAGCCAGGTGGCATTGGCTGGTAGATGGCACCCGGAGGAGGCCAACCCTGTGTGATCTAATGGGTCTGTGGGAGGTAATGTTGCTGTCATGTGGCATATTGCGATGTTTTTTCCCCTTTGCGGAGCTGGGGTGGGCGTGGCCTATGCGTGATGGATCTGGCTTGCGCGCCGCCAGTTTGACACCCCTGCTTTATATTTCTAAATTATAAATCAAATGACCACAGAAGTTCTATTTAGTGCATTATATACTACCTTGATATTTACTGGCTTAAGTAGTTCTCAAATACTAACTTATTTTTTTCAAAAGTGTTTTTTTTTTCATCATCTTGAAAAAAAAACTTATTCCTACTGACAGAATGAAGCAGTAAGTCTATTAGCAGAAGAAGAATCTGTTGACCAAGAATTAAAGAAGGCGCACGATAAAGCTACCGAATTCTTGGAATTACAACATTGCTTAGATCAAGTCCACCAGATGATTATTCATTTATTAGAAGGTATCTGCTTCCATTATCTGGCAAAACCATTTTGAAAATTATGGTCACAAAGCTGCAATAAAACTGATCCAGGGATTCTTTATTTTGTTGTGATAGAAGCTGGTGATTACAATCCATTATGGTTGGTAACATAGTCAGCCAGATGTTTAGATTGGATTTGGCATTTTTATGCATCTCATTTCCCCCCCTTAATGCTGTCTCATAATATTATCTCAACCAGTGTTTCCAAATTAGGTATGTTTTTACATTTCGGGGTCTCGTGTATCAAATAATTTTCGATAGCTTCTATAACTTGTTCCTAACTCTACGACCACCAAACATGTCTTAATCATTATGATTAATTTGCAAGGAATCTATTTCCACAGTTTCTATAGTCTTATTTCTATCTGATTTGCTCTTCTATCCTTGAGTCTGTTTATTGATATATATACACAAGCAGCTCCTTATTAATTTCCCTTCCAGGAATGTAGGTGCTTTATAAAAACCCGGTGCCCTTCTTAAAAAGTGAACTTTGCCAAAATAGATGCCTACTGAACAGCTTCTACATATTATGAGATTAAGATTAAGATTTAGTTTATTTGTATGCCGCCCTTCTCCGGGAGGGACTCAGGGCGGC